CCAAAACAAGGATCCCTCAGATGTCTTGTGTCTTGGCAGGGAGCCTGGAAGGGTGCACTCAGCCGAGACTGTGAGCCGGTCGGCCCACCCAAGGCCCCTCCAGCACGGTGGTTTGGGGGCAGTTAGACTGCTTGCGCGGCAGCCCGGAGTTCCAGGGAGAGTGTTCCAAGAGACCACAGCAGACGTTGCAAGGCACCCTGTGAGCCAGCTGCAGAAGTGCCGTGTCTGTTGCAAAATCTGATGGCAAGCAAGTCACTAAGGCCAACTCAGAGTGGAGACACGGAAAGTGTTTAAGAAACAGACTTACTGACTGAGCTTGTAGTATGATTCTGTCACTTCTAAGTAACCCTGAGAAAGTTTATTTAAACTCTTTGAGCCCCGGTTTTCGTATCTGTAAGATGGGAATATTAATAATAGTATCTACCTCTTGTGCTTATGAGAATTAAATGACTCTTTATGTCTCATATCAACACCTGCTATGGAAAAGCAGTGATCACCAACATTTGCCATTTCTTCTTCCTGGGCACCTGCTGGACTACATTTCCCAGCCTCCCCTGAAGTTAGGTGTGACCATGTGACTGAGTTCTAGGTCCTGGCACTACAGAAGTGATATAGTGGGCCTCTCCTATCCCCTCCGTGTCCACTGCCCCCACATTACACCAACCTGTGTTGTGAAGAAACTCCTGTGTTGTGTTTCTCAGAGTCATTAGCCTACCGGGACTACACACTGGTATATAATAAACTTGCAGTTAAAGTTGGCTGCTGTCTGGCCTAACCCCTCTGCACCTGCGTTCCCATCCGTACAGTGAGGTGATAAGATTAAATGAAATAATGTGTCATCTGACGTACTGGCTTGGCTTCCCTTCGATCGCAGGCATTTCATCTAAACACTCAAAATGGGCCATCATTACCTTTTTCTTGAAGCAATATTATCTGCAATAAAGCCTTTTGAAGGCTTAAATTCACATGTGAAAAGGATAACAAGTGAATTTGCAATCTTTTAGATGCCAGTTCTAATGCTACCATTTTAATTCAGAATACTTCCTAAAATACATGATGATGGATTAGATTAAGATGTTTCTAATTTTAAACACGAATCAATTTATTTTTCTTTTTCTAATTAGGAAATACTTTTAAAATACAAAAAAAAACCCCACTTATTTTCCTACACTCAACATGGTCAAATTTTAACATTCTGCTGAATTTGTGTTTTTCTAAAGAAATGGTGTATTATGGATGAAACTGAAAAAAAGAATAAGAAATACTGTATCTAAAGCACTTAATACAGGCCCTGGCACAGGTGAAGCAGTCAGTAATTGTTAGTAATTTTTCTACAATTTTATTTTGAAATAAGTTCCCATTTGCGGGGGGCTATAGAGCAGTCGACACGTTGGGCGCACACCCATCATCGCCCAGCTCCCTCTAATACTCACTTTGCACATGACCACGGTGCACAGGACCACAGCGCACAGGACCACGGCGCACACGACCACTGCTCATGCACCAGGGAGTCGAGCCCTGGTGTGACGCTGTTAACTAAACCGCAGACTCGCTTGGGATCGCATCAGTTTCTCTGCTTATGCCCTTTTCCTGCTCCAGAATCCAGCCCAGAATACCATGTTGCATTCAGCTGGGTTTTAATTTTTCATTTATTCAGCACACTGAGAGTGCTACCAACTTTTAGTCGCAAAGCGGGGTTAGTCCAAGAGCAGAAGTCCAAGGTTCTGAGTAGCAGGCGATGCCAGGAGGCCCGATACTAGGTGCTATGACGATAGTCACAGATCTCACTTTTGAAAGCTTGCCACGTGTTGTACAAAGAACCTTCTGTCTTCCGCCGTGTAACCTTTGCAACAACCCTATATGTCAGCTACTGTTACTCCCATGATGCAGTTGGGGAAATGGAGGTGTGGGGAGATTGAGGGCAGAGGGGGGGATTTGAATCCAGGTAATCTGGCTCCAAAGTTACGCTCCTAACCATGCCCCGCACCTTTCATGAGGCTGCCCCAGGAAAGAGGGCAAGTAGACACATCATCACAGACTTCCTGGGGCGAGTGTAGCAGGCAGAAAAACTTCCTGGGGGACACACCCTTCAGGAGTTCAGTCTCTGTTTTGTGGGGTGCTCTGGAAAGTGTCTGACTCTCCCCCACCTGCTTTCTCAGGGACTTCCCTCTCTCTTTCCCCTGCAGCCCTAGATTCTGAGCCTAACCCTCAGAGCCCCAGGGAAGCGGCCTGCTGACACTCAAGTCCCAGGGTGTGGCTCAGCCTCTGGGCGCCTCACCCCAGCCAGCAGAGGCTGGTGGCCCACACTCACAGGCCCGGATGTTGATTTAGAGATTGGCTTCTGGAGCCACTATTCTGGGCCCCGCTGACAGTGCATGAGCAAGAAATAGCAACAAGAGCTGAGCTGTCAGGTAGAAGGGGGATCCAAGAGAATTGAGCTGCTCAGTAGGGACCAGCTTTGTCTGCTCCGGAGATTGATAGGCCTCAACAACCAGAGGATGAGCTGAAAATGGTTTTCCATTCCTGGATTGGAGAGGGAACCCGCTCCGTGGGGCACAGCAGCAGCAGCCCTTCTGCCATCTTCCAGCTTTGGAAAAGGTCCAGAGAGCACCCGAGGCGGCCAACAGCCAGCTGGGGTCAGGGCCAACCAAGGGCTGCAGGGAGGCGAGCACAGGAGCTGCCTGGGCTGACCCGCCCCTTGAGCCAGAGCCCAGAGATCCTAAATCCAGGCCGCAGCATTCCAGCCCCATTTCAGCTTGTCTGCATCTCAGTTTCTTCATCTGTAAAATGGGGATACTAATCCTTCCATCCCAAACCAGACGGCCTGTGTTTGTACAGCTTATGAATTGCAGAAGGAGGGAATGGCGGCCAAACAACCACCTGCCCTCAGCTCGCTCTGTCCATCGAGCACCCTGACTTGGAGCTCTGTCTGCTCCTGGGAGGAAGAGGCACCTTTTTCCTGACCGAGCCCAGGAGGGCTTCTGCCTGAAAGGCTGCTTTACTCAGAGCAGGGGCAACTTTTTAAATTTCAACAAAGGAAAAGCACCGTCTATCTGGAAATAGACCAGGTGACAAGGAAGGGCAAAGGCTCCTTCAGCCCCCAAGAGAGGACAGAGCGGCCCAGAGAGCCCCGGTGAGGAGTCGGGCTGGGGGTCGGGGGTGGCCGTCAAGGGGACAGGATGAGCCGGGAAGAGAGTGTCGAGGTAACCAAATGACGAGATGCCCGCGGACGGAGCTGGAAGAGAGCAGACACCCTCTGGAGAGAGGCCAGTCCTGGGCCAGCTGCGACCCACTGCCCGGGTGGCCTCCGTAGCGAGGACTGAGTGGCGGTGGTGCCATCCTGCGGCTGCTGTCCCCAGAAACACAGGGCTATGCCTGATGCAGTGTCACAACCAGAGAGTGTGGAAGCCATGGGGAAGGGACACAGAGCCCAGGAAAAGCCTGGCCAGAGACGGCAGTGGGAAGAGGACCACAAGGCACCAGGTGGTTTTAATTCGGAGTGACAGGGACACCTAAGGGGTGGATGGACACTGTGGTAGCCCGGGGAGGAGCACTTCTCCCAGGCCGGGGGAGTCTAGGGGAGCTTCCCAGGAGAGAGAGCTGAACTGAAACTTGAAGGAGACCGCGGTGAAGGGCCGTGAGAGTGGTGCACGCAGGGGGCGCAGCGGAGGGTACGCAAAGCACCAGAGGGCGGAGAGCGTGGCGCACGTGGACTGCTGTCTCCTGATGACGTGGTGTGCACGAGAGCAGAACTGCGAGAGATACAACTGGAGGTGTGAGGGGTTCTCGGGTAATGAAGCATCTTTATGCTTTGTCAGGATGTTTGTACTTCAGGGGTGGCGAGCAGAGGAGTGACGTGATGGGATTCTCACTTTAGCTTGCCCTGTGCAGATGGGAGGGGCCGGGCCACCTGCCCTGGTACCACCCACCCTTTTGGGAAGCAGAGATGGAGAGAGTTGTAGAGTCCAGGTGAGAGGTCAACAAACATGAAGTTAAGTGAGCGGATCCAAGCTGTATTTGGGAAGAGGAATGGAAGTCTCATTAGATGAGAGGCAGGAGTCCAGGGAGATGCCCGTTGCTGATGCAGTAACAGCAGCTGTCACACTAGGAACAGAAGTGGATCTGGGTAGGGAAGGGTGATGAAACGCTCAGCGGAGTTTGCAGTTCAAGGGCAGTATTCGAGTGGAGGTGGCTGGTGGGGTGCAGAGGCTTCGAGCTCAGCAGAGAGAACTGGGCCAGCTTTAGGGGTCGGGGAGTCATTAGACTCGAGGTGTGAGCTGAGGCTGTGGGAGCAAGAGGGTCCCCCAGGAGGGCAGGGGCCCTACGGGAGAGAAAAGGCAGAGGACAGAACCTGAGAAACCTTGACCTTTGCGGGTCAGCTGGAGGAGGCAAGGGCTGAAAGGGGGCAACCAGAGGAGGAGAAGGAAAGGCAACCCGTTTAATCGTTGTAATACCTTGTACTGTGTGCAGGTGAGGAACGTGCGGGCTTTTATATAGTTTGATTAGGGCACAAGTACAAAGAAACTCACAAGTGCATGTTTTGCTCCATCCTATAACTATCCTTTACCTGGGATTTCCTAGCCCCTTGTTTAATGCCCCTGTTTTCTAGGGGTCTGTCATTTCAGTCAGGCCTTTTGAAAGGAGAGTGTACATGAAAAGGTTGACTGGGTTCAAGAGGTGCTCTATTTGTGAATAACAAGTGAATAGTAATGTGCCCAACTCTGGCCGTGGTCCAGGCAACCTAGCGCCACCCAGGCGTCACCCGAGGGTGGTGGTATGAGGACGACAAGACGAAGAAAGGCCAGCTAGTTCTGAGCGCTTATACCCACTTCTTCCTCTTGCACTAAGGGTGGTGTCGCTGACTGGCTCTCAGCTGCCCCCCTCCTTCATGCAGCCTCACAGGGACTCGGGCCCCTTCTGTAGGCGCTGCCACACTGAACCAAAGCTGGTCGGCTTTCTGGGATATCGTGGTCACCCCTGGAGTGAGCCGCCACCCCACAAACCACCAGAAGGTCTCCTGTTTCTATGACGATGAACCTTTTATTATAGAGACAGACTGAACTCTTTTGCATAAAGAATCTCAGGATTGGGTCAGGGAAATCCACCTGCTAAAGGCTGCCCCCCGCTCTCCCTGCCTCTGCCTCAGCCAAGCCCACTTGCTATGTACATCTCAGGGGGACTGGGAACGGCAGAGGCTGCCATCCTCACAGCCAGGCTGGTTGGGTTGGGCCACGCTGAACAGAGGGTCAGGGCTCCCGGCTGTCCCCCAGGTCAGTGTCGCTCCGTCTCCCGCCCGAGGCGGTGGTCCAGGACTTGGAGCTGCCGGAGGAAGCCCGAGTTGGGGCAGATATCGCGGTGGGCCTGCACCGTCTGGATGGCCTCCACCAGGGTCATGTTCTCGTAGATCATGAGGAAGGCCAGGACGACCGTGGCCGAGCGGCTCACCCCCATGGCGCAGTGTACCAGCACGCGGCCTGCAGAGAGACCCAGCCCGGCATCAGCTAGCTGCCCTCCCGCCACCCACCCATTTGGGAAGCAGAGACCCTTCTGGCTTCCCTTCAGCGCCCCCATCACAGTCCTGGAATACGGACACGGTGTTCACTGTCGGCTGGGGCAAAGGAGGCCCAGAGAGGACCTGGCTCAAGGTCACACAGCAAGTGAGCAGCTGGGACTCCCTTCTCCTGGTTCAAGGTGCTTCCTCCGCATCCTCTGCAACTCTGGGGAGTCGGTGGGAGTGAGGGGAGGACGGCACTCCTGCAATCCCCTGGTCTGCGGCAGATTCCAGGGCTGTCTGCCTGCCACTTTCCCCGAGCTCTGCCCTCTCCCTGTCCCCGCAGGCCTGTGCCGAAGCTCCAGTTTAGAGCAGCCAGCTCAGGAGCCCCCCCTAGGTGCTGTACCTTCTGCCCAACCCGGGTCTCTTACTGAGGGATGTGGTTACACCGATGACCGCACTGGACCCTGCTTGTGTCTGTGATTGCCGCTCACCGAACGGCAGCAGCTATTCTACCCAAGGGGCGGGAGGGTTGTTGCAGAGGCCTGTGGCTCAGGACACTCCACCTATCAGTGCCACTGGAAAGATGGAGAGCCCTAAAGCCCACCCCCACCTCCCTCACTTCCACCCCAGTCCCTTCCCCAGCAGCTCACCTTGGGGAACACTGAGGGCAGTTCGGATGTACCGGGCGACTGGCAGAAAGTAGACACTGAGGTCGAAGAAGGGGTTGTCTTCTGCCTCGATGCCGTAGTACTCCAGGGGCATCCCGTGGTAGAACTTGGCGCCTGTGTCCACCTGAAACTTGCCCGCAGCAACATTCACAACGTGGGTGATGCCCAGCTGGGTCAGCTTGCTCCTGTCCCGGGCTGCATGCCTGGGGGGCGGGCGCAGGGTGGTGGGAATTGGGAGGTAGGGGCAGAGCTCCCTGGCCCAGTTCTGGCTGGGCCGGAACTTGTCCCCTTCCCCCCCGCCCCCCACCTCTCCCAAGGGCAGAGACCGGAACCAGTGAGGTGGCCCAGGGTGAAGGGACCCCTCTAGTCAGAGTTCAAGAGTCCCTTCCACTCAGGCCGACTTTTCTGGAGAGCAATTTGGCCTCAGGCATCAAAAGCCTTAAAAATGTATATAGACTGCGTCCAGCAAATCTCCTTCTAGCCACTTAAAGAATCCATACTGTGCCCACAGATACCCGAAAATTGGATCTAATGACATTTAAGACGGTGAAAACTTGGGGAGAAATTACTAAATATCCTCTAATAGAAGATTAGGCGCAGGTAAATGAAACACTACCCAAGCACTAAAATGAGGTATTAGAGGAAAGCCAGGAACGCGCGTGCTGCGTTAAGAACCTACAAAAAACGCAGAATGCAAAACAGAATGGTGTTTAAGGTCTTAAAAACATGCAGTCCGATTCCACTTAAAAAGCTTTTTATCTAAAGCAGATTACAAAATGGGATTATAAAGAGATACTGTTTTTGTAAAAAAAAAAATGTGGAAAGCACTTCTGTACGTATGTGTGCATGCATTTTCTAAAAGTCAACAGGGATTTTATTACTGGTTATCTTAGTAATAACAATGTCTGCCACATTGTTTTCAAGATACTGATTCCTAGTCTCTAAATATTAAGGAAAAGTTCTAAAATCCACATATATTGGTTCATACATTCTAAATTTAAGAAAAAAAATTTTAGAAAAAATGCCTCCGTCTTACTGCCTGTACACACCCTAGAGGAACTTGTGTGTGTGACCGGGGCACACGCACGGGGGGGTTTCTGGCAGTGCGGTTCCCAGAAGGGGGACGTCTCGCGTGTTTGTGTGGGACCGGATGGACCGACGGCGGGGCCGCACTCACGCATCTCCCAGGAAGAGGTTGGGCCAGACCTCGTTGACGTGGCTCAGTGTGGCGGCCCGACGGGCCCACAGCAGGCGCTGCAGTGAGGACAGCGTTGGCGGCTGGTAGGGGGACACTGGGCCTGTCCTGTGGATCTTGGGCCTCCGGAGGTCCTGCTTTTGCAGGGAGTCCATCCTAGAACAGGGTGGACACCGCAGTGGCTGCAGGCATGCTCCCGGAAGGGGGGTCCACCTGACCCAGGAGCGGTGCAGAGCCCAGGTGGCAGTGGGATGAGGCGGGAAGGGCTCAGCTAGTTCGTATGAGGTTATTACCCAGCTCAGCTGGGGCTGAGGCCTCCACCCTTTCCCAAGGAACAATCAGACCCCTTGTTACTCTCTCTCCTGCCTTCTTTAGAGGACCCTGAGGTCAGAAACTTTGGCCGAGGGGTCCTTGGAGTTTCTCGTCTGTGGAATTGGGTTAGTGCAGACCCAACCCCTTAAACTGCAGGTCACACTTAGGACTTCGTAGGACAGAGACCTCAGATGGCCGTGGCTCCTCACAGCGGAGGCAGCTCATCTTGAGCCCCCTCCTCTGCTCCTTCCAGGGCTGGCCCTCAGGCCCCCACACCCTCTCATTTTCAGGTGTTTGGAGAGCAGAGCCCCTCTCTGGACTGAGGAGCCTGGGCTATGAATGACATTTGTTAGCATTTCCATCCTGAGTGAGCTAATGCCTTTTAGGGGCCTAGTGCCTCAGTTGTGGCACTAGCTGAAGAAGCTCAGAGAGAAATTTTTAAGTGATACCCAAAACCACAAGGCTGATATGCAGCAAACCTGTGGTTCCAGTCCAGTTCTGTGGTCCTGCAGTTCAGTCCCCAAGCCTCCCAGTTACCAGCCTTGGGGACCAGAGAGTGGTCACTAAGCCACCCAGCTCTGCAGGGGAGCCTGGTATTGCGGTTCCGTGTGCGCCTGCAAGCCCTGGGTCTGCCCTCCTTACCCCCGTGACTCAGGCCAGCGCCGCAGGCCAGGTCTCATCGAGGTGGGGTGGGTGGTCTCCAGAGTCTGCTGGCTGAGGGAGTCCGGGACCCTGCCGAGCTGGGATCTCAGTGGCACCAGAACTTGGGTCTGGTGTCGCGCTGGGAAGGAGTGCCTATCTTGGCTAACGGTCCTTGGCCCCCTCAACCAGTATCTAGGGAGGGTACAAACTGGAAAAAACATCTTTTCTCTTTGGCAGGCGGTGCCAGGACCGGAGAGAGAAAGAGGCACCCAGGAGGCCACTGGCCTGGCCAAGCTCACACAGCGGGCGGCCGGCGGGCAGGGCGGAAGTGAAGACTCAGCGTTCCCCCTCATCCCCCACTGTGATCTGACAGGGCAGGCTGAGTGGCCTGCCACTGACCTAGGGCATGGTCGAGGGCCAAGAGTGGGGGAGTAGGGACCGGGACAGGACTGGCGCTGGAGCGGAATGGGGCTGGGGTGGTTCCGCCCAGAACACAAATGCTGTGAAGCGGCTAGAATTCCAGGCCCTCCTCTGGGAGCCCACGGGGGTGGGGCCTGAAAGAAGACTAGGCCTCTGCGTAGGGAAGCGCAGCCCTGCCAAACCAGTGGCTTTCTCTCTGTGGGACAGCTCTTCGGGGGTAAAGGCTCTTGGGCCTAGAACTCCCCATGGACTTGGGAGGCTGCTACCTGAAGTGGTGGGAAGAGAACTTTGGAGAGAGGAGGAGAGTCCGGCCACCATCTATTCTGTGGCCTTAAGCAATTCTTTGCTCCTGTCTTGGCCACAGTGCTCTTCTCATGTTAAAATACCCTGGTCTTGCTTGACTTGAGGAGTCTCTGGCTGTCTGACCTGAGAATAAGAGAGGAGTGGCTGGGTATGCAGCAACCACAGGGTAGAGAGCACTGTATTATGTTAGGGTGGGGTAAGCCCCCAGGCCTCAGGGTCATCCAAAAGCTGGTCATCACCAGCTGGTGATGCTTAAGCCTCAAGCAGAGCAGATAGGGCTTTGGGAAGCCTGGCTAGCATGGGCTCAGTCTTCTGTGCTTGGCATGGGGTAAGGCTGCCCCCCAGTGGCCAATAGGTGCCTTGCAGGCTTCAGTTGAGAGAGAGCAGGACCTGGCTCCTCCCCCTAGGCTCCTGGGCAGAAGAGGAGACAGCAGGGGGATTAAAGATTGGGGGCTCCTAAACCACAGACCCCGGCTCAGCTTCCTAGAAGACCTATGCCCAGGTCTGAAGGATGGCGCTTTTCCAAGGGGTCCTCCTTGTCAGGTGCCATCTGAGCCTCCTTCCTGGTGCTCATGGTTGCAGCTCCCACCTGCCGCTCCATCCCACCTTTGCCAGCTGACTCAGGTCCAGACCCTTGCCCTCTGACTCATCATCCTTCAATCTCCACGCACACCCAAGGAAGGGGAGTTGGTGGCTGCCGCAGCTCCCCTGGGTTCAGCCACCCCACACACCTGGACTGCCAGGGACCCTGCTGACACTTCCTCCCACACCTCCTCGGCCCCCTGAGGGTGAAGCAGGGCCCCACCTTTACCCTGGACAGGGCTGGCTTGGCTTTTCTCCCATTCACTTTAGCCCTCATTTGGCCTCCTTCCTGCACCTCCCCTCTAAACTGAGCAGCTGCCTCCGCAGGCAGCAGCTTGCCTGCTCTTGTGTTGCTTCTGTGGAAAGTTCAGACACTTGTTTTCTGTCTCTGTATCTCTCCTCCTCTCCGTGTCCCTCTCCTGGCTGCCTCTGCCTCCCACCCTCTCACAGGAGCTCCTGCCGCTCCTGGCCTCCCAGCACACCCTGCATGCCCGTGGCCTCAGGCTGAGGCATAGGTCGTCTTGGGGTGGGCAGCTGTTCGCCATGCACCTCCTCAGCTCCAGAAGATACTCCCCTGGCCTTCCCTGCTGCTCAGTCTCTGCCTCCTCCCCCCCCAGGCAGATCAGATGGGACTGTGAGCACAGGACAGAGATCTCTAATCCAGAGATCTCTCGGCTCCAGACGGGACCAGAGATCTCTGAGGAGTCTGGAGAAGGAAGCCTTAGGGGGGGAGGCGGGTGGGCCCACTGCCCACGATGATCTGCCAGCGGGTGTGTGCACTCAACCTGTGGACCTTGGAGGAAAGCAGACCTGGGCAGAGCTCTTAGGTCTGGTGTTTGCAGCATGTACCTGTGTGCTTCTCCGAGCCGGTGTCCTCAGCGGGGCGGTGGTGAGAATCCCAGGAGATCATAAGTGTAAGGCACTTCCCACAATGTCTGCCTCACGGCAGAGGCCCAATAAACGCACATCTTACAATACTGTTACTACCACTACTGTTACTACCATTACCTATTCAAGCCTCAGCCATATTCTGGGTAGAGGGTAACTTTCCCAAGGGACAGCGAAGTTTGGTCTTTATGTCTGTGTTTCTTGACGTTCCTTTCTCTGTCTGGTGATGACGTTTATTATAGTCATCACTCACTAAGGATGTACTCACTATGTACTAGTACTATGTACTAGTACTCACTATGTACTTATATTTTCTCATCGAATCCTTACAGTACCCTTATGAGGCAGGTAATATTATTATCCCCATTTTACAGATAAGGAACCTGAGACTCAGAGAGATTGTGCAATATACCCAAGGTCACACAGCCAGTAAGTGCGGGAGCCAAGATTCAAGCTCAGGTCGATCTGACTCTACTATACTTTGTCCGTGCCCCTGTCTCCGATCCAGTCCATCCCTCAATCCAAGCCAATACCCTCCCTGCCCCCAACACAATACACACAGGCACAGGCGCCCTGGCCCTCTCTGCCCAGCAAGCCCTGCGTCCCCCTGAAATAGGGGACTCACCCACCTGTGGGGGTATCTGGCCCAGGCTGAGGTCTCCTGTAACAGGCACTTTGTGCCGCCGACTTCCAGCCACTTGTCTCTGCACACTTGATGCTGTTTCTATTTTTTGATTTGAGTTTAATTATAAAGCATGATGTGCTGCTCCCTTCCTCTGGCCTCCACCTGCCACTCCCCACTTGCCCACTGGCCCCAGGGCCCGGTCAGCGCCACACCCAGCCAGGCACCTGGCCCTGCTCCAGCAGAGGCAGCCCGGCGGGGGGAGGCCTGTGGCACGCGTGTATGTGTATGCTGATTGCGGGGCCATCTTACGAGCTCCCTTGGCCTTCGAGGGTGGCAAGGAGCAAGGGCAGAAAGTTAAAGCTGGAAGGATCTTCCATGGAGGAGGACAGGGAGGAACCAGCCGAAATCGCACACAAACTGGCGGCACTGCCCACCCTGGAAGCCAGGTCCGAGAGCTTTCCAAGGGCTTTAATCCTTTCATAAGGATTACAGGACTGGTCCAGGATTAAGACCTACACGACCCAGGCTGAGGGAAGTATGGGAAGACAGGCGGCGAAGGTGTAAGCAGGGTTCAGAGCAGGTCTCTGGCCAGCCCTGGCCTGGGGTCAGGAGCTGTGCGTCCAGAAGCTACTCAGCCCTCTGTCTAGGTCCTCCTACCCAGGAGGCTTTCCTGGCCCAGGTCCCACTCTCCCTTGAGGCCAGTGAGATGGTTTTCACCATCTCAAGGTTTCTAAGGTTAACTGTTATCATTCTGAGACCTTGGGTTAAGAACCCTCCCTACTCCCCTGAGCCCCTCCTCGCGTGTCCAAACTTCAGTACTCTTTCCCACTCGCCCACTCACACTCCCAGATGACACGCACACCGAGACAGGCATACCTGCAGCCATCCCTATAAGGGTCTCGGAAGTCTGAGCTCCAGGGAGTAAGGCTCAGCCTCTGCCGGGGCTCCCCAGGCGCCATGGAGAGCAGGTGGAGGCAGCTGTGGCCAAGGGCTGTCCCCCTCAATCACAATCCCCACCTCCTGCCCTGCTCCCCCACCCCCTCCAAGGGACCTCGGGGTCCTGGCCAGGAAGCCTCAGGGCTTGACTGCGAGGGCAGCCCATTCCCACCTGTGGGGGCTGAAGACAGTGGCTGAGAGAAAGTTCAGGCGGCTGGAAGAAGCGGATGGAGTAGCAGGCTATAGGGCGGACCCCACACTGCGCTCTTACCCTCTTCTGGGTGTCCACGGGGGCCAGGGCTTCCAGCAGCACCAGCAGGGCCAGTGCCAGGGTGGCAAAGCCTCAGACGCCTGTGGCAGGAAGTGAGGACCAGGTCTGGGGGAGAGATGAGCTCCATGTCACAGGCAGGTAAACCGGGGCCCAGGCTGCCTGGGGCCATATCACTGCGTCAGGGCAGGAGCTGCCACCTAAACCTGCTTCTGCTCTGAGCTCTCTTGGTAAGGCCAAGAGGTGCTGGGAGAGATGAGGCGGCAGGCTGGGGGCCCAGGGCTGGAAGAGAGACGACCTCCCCCCACAGCCCCTCACTGTCCCGAGTGCCAGCCCCGGGCTGCCGTGTGTGGCTGCACCGGCTGTGCACTGCGCACCCCCGCGGGCCTGGCTGCACAGACGCTTTGGCGGATGACACCCCCAGGAATGCGCAGTGCAGTAGCCAAACGGCTCCCTCCAAGCCAACTCCCTGAAAGGAAAGAAGCTGAGGTTCAAGGTCAGGATTTTTAAGAGCCTGGGGCCGAGGAAGTGGGATGACTGGGCATGATCAGAGATCTGCTGCTCTGCCAGGTCCCTGCAACCTGTTTACAGGAGAGAGAGCAGGGCAGCAACACGCCTTCCTGCCCTCCTCTTGGCTCCCTGCACCAGCAGAGCTCCCTACAGTTTCCCACCAGCTTAGCCCCAGACTTAGTCCTGGCTCCTGCCATCACCCTAATTTTCTGCCATTGCACTCACCCCCAAATTCTAAACCCAGCTCTCCATCCTGCCCCAGTCACCATCCCCAAGATGCTCATCCTAACAAGGGTGTGGGGAGGGGGTTCTAATGTGCCCCATCTTGGTCGGGCTGGATAGGCATTCAGAGACCAAAACAGCTCTTTTGAGTTGGGGGGGCGAGAGGGGATTCAGGCCATGCCCTGGGCAGCTCCTGGTAGGAGGAGAAATCGGTTGCTCTCCCAGCTACCCGGAGAGCCTGGGCCAGGCACCCACCCGCTACTGACAGCCCCTTCGAGGCAGTGGGTGGTGTGTGGCACAGCAAAATCGAGGGAGGGAGCAGTGTGGGTAGCAGTAGAGAAGTAGACAGCAGCTCCGGAGGCCCAACCCTCCAGCGGACGGCCCTTGTCAGGGTGGATGCGAATGTGGAGAAGGCAGGCTGTCGGGCCAGCCAGGGACAGACCCTGCCGGGTGTGGTGGGAGAAGGGCAGCGGGCGCTCTGCAGCTCCCTTACGATCCTGGTGCCGTTCCAGGAAGGGACACCCTTGCTTCCTCCCAACTGAGCTGCAGGAAAACGCAGGGCTGCTGCCAGAGAAATTAAAGCAGCCCCTCAGCGGGTGGGCCTGAGCGCGGTGCTGTTGCTGGGGCAGCCCAACCCCTGCCACTGGGCAGCGGGGGCCCTGGGGCCTCCCACAGAAGGGAAGCGGCTTGGGAGAGGAGGTGGTAGGGATCTGTTCCCCTTGTGCCACTGCTCCAAAGGCACTGGACACAGAACAAGAAGGCAGGGTACACGGGAATAGGAAGGAGTCTGGATAGACTTCAGTAAGACTTCAGGTCCTAAAGGGATCCCCAGAATCAGAGGGCGAGGCAGGTTAGGGAGGGTCCTTCTGTTGATCTATGAGATCGGATTGGGCGGGGCAGGTAGGGAGCGGGGTGCTGCGTCTAGGGCAGAGAACGGACTTGTGACGACAGGAGAACTTCCCGTCAGCAGGGCTGTGTGAGGAGGTCGTGGCTGGTGGCAGGAACACCTGTTCTCCCTCCCCACGTGGGAATGGCGTGGCCAGGCTCACACGAGAATCGACTAAACTCAGCTGCACCACACTGTGCTCCCTCAGGGCTGAAGGAAGGTGTGCGGAGGTGTGGGAAGATTCAGACAGCCACGGGTCCCAGGGCTGCCCGGGCCGCCGCCTTGATGGGGTTCGGGTGAGCTGCCCCACAAGGAGGCAGGGCGGCCTCAGGGCCAGGTAGGAAGGTCTCTCTGCTTCCAGTTTGTGCTCCTCTTTCCTAGTCTTTCCATCCTCTCCGGGGTCCGGAGAATCTGGGTAGGTTGGGAGAGAGGGGGATCCAGAGAGATCTTGGCTGGGCCCCGATGAGACCTTGGGTGGTGAAGGGAGCCCAGCAGTCTGGAGAGTGGGCCACAACCAGCCAGACACAGCCTGACAACCGACCTCTGAGCTGGTCCCATCCCATGTTCCCTGCCCAGCTCTCACCTGACCTCTCACTTCTAACCGCACCCAGCCTCGCCTGCGTGTCCCCTCACTCCCGGCCCAGCCCTCACCTGGCCCCTCAGCTCTGGCCTGCACCCCGCAGCTTCTGGTCCAGTTGGCAGAGCTGGTGGAGAAAGCCTCGGTTGGGGAAGACCCATCGGCGCTCCCTCACGGTGACCACCGCCTGGCGCAGGGACATCTGCTGGCGCAGCATGAGGTAGGCCAGGACCAGCGTGGCAGAGCGGCTCACACCTACCACACAGTGCACCAGCACCTTGGCTGAAGAAGACATCCTGGTGAAAGACCCTTTCCCACCAGCAGGCCCGCCCAGGTGCTGGGCTGGGGACCCAAGTTCCTTTCCCTGCTCTGCCTTAGGTGTGCTCCGTGACAAACCCTGGGCACGTCATTCAAGCTTTATGGGGTTGTTTCTTGATCTGTCAAATGGGTAAAGCAATACCTGTTTTGCCTGCCCTTGGGATGGGGTCGAAAGTCCTTAGCATAGCTGACAAAACCCTCCATGAACTGGCCCCTGCTGGTCCTGCAGCTTCGTCGCAGGCTGTCCTACCTCAAGCTTCAGCTCCAGGAACACAGGACAATTTTCAGTTTCTGGAAGCTGTCATGGTCTCAGACCTCCAGCCTTAGCCCAGGCTATTCCAACTACTTGTAAACCTTCTTCCCTCCTCTCGTCTGACTAACGTCGACTTCTCACCTGTCGGGTTTCAGCTGAGAGGCGGCCTTCCCGACCACTCATGGTGTCACCTGAACAACAGCAGCTCCTCCTTCTCACTGTGGCCCGGTGACCACTGCTGCAGAGGGAGGTCGCCCCACCGCCTCGATCCTCCGAACGGAGCACCGCTGCCCTGCGCTCCCATGGCCCTTTGCATCCGCCCACCTGGATGAGCGGGCACTCGTTCTTGATATTTTGACTGTCTTTCCCCTGAACATACAATAAGTTCTGCGAGGGCAGGCACCCTGCTTTGTCTAAGTGTAAATGCCTAGCATCTAGCTCAGTGCCCGACACAGAGAAGATCAGAAATAGCTGGTGAGTGAATGGGTGAAGAACGAATGAGTGTCAAAGTGCTTTGGATATGAAGAAGCGCCATGAGCCACACAGAGTCTTGTCTCTCCCATTGCACCGGTGAGAACTGAAGTCTGGAGAGGGAGGCTGGTTTGTCCATGTTCAAGGACCAAGGGACACAGCTCTCACCCAGGACAAACACATAATAGAGGCTCAGCTTTCGCCAGGTCTCTTGTTGTCCCCTGGGTATTCGTTTTGTTTTGTTTTGCTTTGTTTTTTTCCCCACTTAAAAGTACTTTGGGGCAGAAACCAGACATCTAGCTACCAAATGGCGGTTTCCCAAGGCTGAGTCATGCAGAGAAAAAACTGTTTTGCTGTTTGAGAGGCCTGGCTTTCAGCCCCAGGGCTGCTCCTAACTCGTGGTCTGGCCTTGTATTCTGAGCCTCAGTTTCCCCATATGTGAAGCACTGTAGTTGGACAAACGACTGGAGCACTGAGCAGAGGACTTTTAAAAACCTGATGGCTTTTTAAAAACTAGAGATGTTTGGGGTCCTCCCCTGAGGACTTCAGGGGAGGCCTCCAAACAGAGGACCCGGTGGGGCCCTCTCTGTGGACTGCACCACACCCTTCCCGGCCCCCTTCCCCAGGCCGTTTTCCTTGCCTCTCTCTCCTGGGCTCCAGGGGCCCTTCTTGCACCTCAGCAGCTTGTTTCCTGAGCCTGTTACTTCTACAGCTCACTACTTCTACCTCTGTGACATTCTGGATGAACTTTCTCTTATAGTTTTGGGAAACAAACAAACAAACAAACTAGGGATAGGAGGGCACTGATGTTTGAAGGGAAACTGGACATCCCCCCAGGATGGAATGTAAGATCAGACCCCAAGTCCTACCCCCAGGTGTGTTGAGCGCACGATGAATGAAGTCGGCTGCGGAAGAGAAGTAGGCGCTGATGTCGAATTCAGGGAGGTCGTGGGCTGGCACTCCCAGGTAGCTCACACTGCTGCCGTAGAAGTCAGGGCCGCCCTGACAGTACAGGCCCCCGTGGGCGGCGTTCAGCACGTGGGTGATGCCCAGCTTCCATAGCTCAAAGCGGTTATTTGCCGTGGCCCTGGGGAAGGGAGGGAGGGGGCTGGATGCTGGCTGAGCCGTGGGGTCCAGGAAGGGGGCTTTCCCACGCTCCCTAGCTCCCTACTTCAGAGGGATGGAGCCATGAGGGTCCAAAGGGAGCCAGAAGGAACCTAGCAAGTTTGAGCTGGGATCCACAGCTCAGAGCCACCCTCAGAGCTTTCTGATGGTAGAGCTGGTATTATGGGAAGTACCTTGAGCCCCTGGTTGCTTCCTGAGGTCATTGCCCCTGCCTTGGCTAGAACAGGAAGTAGAGGATTGCCTCACTCCTGGGACCTAGCTGCCCCACCTTTCATTCCTGCTCCATGCCTTCCCACACACTTCCCACCTCTCCTGGCCACTACCTCATACCTACTTCTACTCTGAAGGAGGGAGGTGAAATCTACTGTTTAGAGGTGACATTTTTCCTGATTCAACCTTTAGTCAGGCTTCCTCACCCATTCGGTGTCCAGAGGACAGAGGCTGGGACCAGGAAGGGAAGTTCTCTCTCCGATACATTTCATACCCTTAATCACCATTCCCTAGACACCCGCCCAACAAACTTAGTTACCCTGGATTTTCCAGCAGACTTCTGGGAGCTCCCCTCTTGCAGGCTGGCAAAGTCTCTGCTCCCCCTGGTGGCTGCATATGGTTACTACACCGTCCCCAGGACATAGGGGTCCTGGAGAAAGTCCCTGGCCTAGGATGCTCATTGCATAGCTATTTCTCTGTATTCCCTTCCCACCTCTGTCTCTGGTAAAGAGCCCAAAAACTGTTTCTTGTTCCTCCCACCCCCACACCCTCTAGGCCAGCTACCACTCACGCATCTCCTATGTAAAGGTTGGGCCAAACTTCATCCACTCGGCTGCAAGAAGAAATTTTCCCTGCCCTCAGGAGCTCTTCCAGTTCCAGGACACTGGGACAAGGAGTGGCCTCGGTATGTCCCCTCAGGTCCGGGAGCGAGGCCTCAGCCATGGGCCAGCCCACCCACTCCTCTGTCTCTGCAGTCACTTGTCTCTGCCTCTCCAGTGTCATTTCTCCTTCTCGGAGATTGGCAGAGACAGGTGGAACAGAGGAAGTGACTCAGCAAGTCACAGGGCCTCCAGAGAGAACAGGACATTTCCCTCCCTCCGGGTCACCCTCCCAACCCCAAACTCCGTGACCACATGGAATCAGACATACCTCTGCAAACCACTTTACCTCTTCACCTCAGTTTCTTCAGCCACAAAGTAAGGATAATGACACCTACCTTAAAGCATTGTGAGAATTAAATAAAACAAAGAATATTCTGTCTCTAACACATAGTACATGTTTAAGAAACATTCTTTTGAACAGGCTGAGAGGGCTGAATAGGCTATTTGATTCTCAGAACTGAGTTAAAGTAGAGATACAGGGTAGAGAGGAGGTAGTTCTGACTCCAAGAATGCATGATAGGAAAAATTCAGCAGGTCTGAGTGGGAACCTTTGGCTGTTGGGTGAGTTTTTAGATTCTAGGGCTCAGAGGAAGTTTCCTGAGTTGTAGTGTCAGAGAACTATGGAGGACCTCATATAAAGGGTGCTCACAGGGCTAGTGGGTGAAGGTTTGAACAATGATTCTGTAATGAAGATGACTGATTTCTCGAAAGAGAAGGCTGAAATGGGCCATGTAGTCAAAAGGGAAGAAGGGAGGTGAATGTTGCCCCAGACTTTCTCAAGAGCCTAACAGCTTGTTACCAGTAATATTTTGGGGTTGGGAGGGAGATTCCTCTGATTCCAAGAGCTTTTGTCTCCACAATAGAAACTGAGAAAGGACTATATCTGTCCTGCCAGAGTTAGTTATTGGCAAAACAGGTGAGATGTCTTGCCTCTCTCAGATGACTTTGTTAAGGCCCTGATGGGGCTGGGAGAAGTACCAGTTGCAGTGGGAAGCCTCCCTGCTGCCCCGGGCCTTGAGTCCAGCTTGAGGGTAAAGTCCACACCAGGACATCCCATGTAAGCATGTCCACCCCAGAACCTGTCCCTGCCCCCATCAGAGCCACTGAAGTCTGCCTCGCACTCCTTGGGGATGCAAGGCGAAGGGAGAGGCTGGAGCCTAGGTCACAGGTGGTTTTGGACTTGGTTTATGCCAATGCTGGCATAAGTTGGGGAGTTCCTGTAGGGTAGTATAGTGGAGTGGGAAGAGAATGGGTTCCAAACTTGGTCAGATTTGAGTAGGAATACTGACTTTGGCACAAGGATTAAGTGAAATATTATATGTCATTTGGCCTGAGAATAAAGGGGCAATAAATGGCAACAATGATCACTGTTAGCTGGTTTCTGGAGAGCAGCTAGCTCCCTCCAGAGAAACTGAGATAAATTCCCCTGGTCCTCAAACCCTATTTACCAATCCCGTGAACCCCTTTCCATCCTCTCCAGCCTTGTTCTTCGGCCTCATCCACTCGCTTTGCACTGGACGCACGCGCCCTTGGGTTTTTTCAGATGTTTTGCTCACTACCCGAGGCCCGCGTCTTTTCCGGTTTTGGCACCGCCCCCCGCCCTTAGAGCTCCGCCTCCTGGCAGCGGGGCCCCGCCTCCCGAAGCAGTTCCGGTTTGAATAGGGAGCAGCTGCTCGATCTGCGGACACTGGGGCAGGAGCGATGCCTGCGCGCAGTCGCCACCGTCCGCGCCCCCACTCCAGGTCTCCTCCCCGGGCTCCGCCCCCGCCGCTCGAGGCCGTGGACTCCGGCGGCGCTCGGAGGGCCGCGGACTCCGACGGCGGCTCGGAAGCCGACTCGGAGGTGGGTCCGGGCAGTCCTCCTCGGACGGCGGAGGTGAGTGGGAGCCGAGGCTGAGGAGAGGGGAGTTTAGGGGGCGCCTGCAGCCAGGGCGAGTGGGGTGTCCGAGCCGAAGCCCAGGGCTGCCGAGGACAGTTTCCGGAGGGGCCACGGGAGGCGGTTGAGGGAGCCCGGAGAGGCAGCTCTAGAACGGAATCTGAGGGAAATGGAGGATGTTGAGCGAGGGCCCGAGGGGCATGGCGATGGCCGAGGCTGAGGGGTAAGTAGAGGTTCGGGGCGAGAGGGAGTGGGACAGGGGGGGAGACGTAGCTTCGAAAAGGCAAGGGCTTGGAGGTTTTCGAAAGCAGGGCAGAGAGAGGAGATGGAAGGGGTCCCGCCGGAACGTGGCGCCGGAGGAGGAGATGCCGCGGGATGTGGCCGTGGGGGCGATGGGGCGAAGGGTCGGAGGAGCGGGACGGCGGCGGAGGGTTACGGCGAGGCGGGAGGCGGCGGGACCGGGCTGGGACCCTCGGACAGCTGGCCAGAGCGGGGCGGCGGGGAGCAGGCGGGGGTCCGGGCTTGACTGCGGGAGGAAGGGGTCTCGGGTGGGAAGTAGTCTTGCCCAAAGGGCCAGGAAAAAAGGAATGGGATTGAAAAGAAAAGGAGCCCTTGGAAACCTAATTTAGGGCTTGGGCATCTTCACAGGTGTCTTTCAAAGCATCGGAGATCACTAAGGTGATATACTTGGATTGTGGGGGCTTCTCGTTTGTGGGCAGTGGACCCTTTGAAAATCTAGGGTGGGAGGAGCTGTGTTTTGCCGAAAAAACTGGGGGAATTGTGAAAAGGGAAGTGATGTTCGGAAACGTAGGGAAAGGCGTGATTCTGAAAATAAAGATACCATTTGGATTTCTTTTAACAGCATGTTTTTTCTTTGTTATTTCTTCGTAAGATTTAAGTTTATGTTAAATATCAGAGAATTTTAGATCTTTAAAGAATGTTTAATGCATTACCTTTACATTTAATAATAAAGCTCGGAATAAAAATGTGGACACCTAGATTTTATAGTTAGTATTGACCGGTTCCACTTTGACAGCTTGGGTCGACACATACTTACCCAGGGTGAAAATACGGTCTGTGCAGGTGTCCGGGCACATAAATCGGTATGTGAAATCACCGCAGTCCAGGAGCCTACCAGATCTTCCTCTTACCCGTAACTCCAGGGTTGGAGTTATCTCTTGAAAATTGGAGGGGTACTCTTGACCGATTTGCAGGACCAATATTAATGCAATTTTGCAGATATTATATGAATAACATTTTTAGTAATGTGATCTAGAAAAACAAGAATAGAGGATGCTTATAGTTGGGCGTTAACAGAACTGGGATAAGTGGGTACACATTTTTTATAGAAGAAATAGTACCAAAGCCGTAATTGTGCCAGAAAGATAATGATTGTAATATTTCCATTTGCTTTACTATAAATAAGTTACCTACCTTTTGTAATTATTAACTTATAACATAACTTTAGCCACATCTCACGCTGTTCTACTTTTATGACTTCTATCTGGTAAGTTTTGCAAAGCTGTTGGCCATTCAAAACAAACTTTCCATCAAGTATTTCTACTCTATTTATTCTTCGTGAGATAATTTACCAATTGCAACAAGCTTTTTAGTTTATATGTATAGAGTAAATATGTCATATCTTCAAATGCTCAGTGGACTAGTAATTATCTCATTAAAGGAGAGATGAGTTCTTAGCTTTGCTTTTAGCTGTTGTCAAAAGATTAACTCCCTTTTCTTTAATTGGTCTTTAATTAAAGAAGTTTACGTAGTATTTCTGTTGTTTATGTTTCAGTTTACTTTCACTGACTGAGATCGTGTAGAGAATCTACATAGTGTACTTAGTTCTGAATAAATCTTGGCATGTAAAAATTTAGGTAACATCTATTGCACAGGTGGCAAACACAAGGCCTGCGGGCTGAAACTGGCCTTCCACCTTGTTTTATCTGGCCCCGCACCTTGTTTCTGCTTGGGGGCAGTGCCAGCTCCTTGCCCCTAGTTAAGGAGTAATTACATTTATATAGTCCTAAAATGACATTCGGCCCTTGAAGGCAACCTTCAGGCTGATGGGCCCCCCCACCCCAGTGAAAATGAGCTTGACACTCCTGGTCTATTGAGTAACATCTTAGTGTTACAGCAAAATTAAAGAAAGAAACTGTAAGACGAAGTTAGTTGTATAATTAATGTGTCAGCATGCCTAATAGTTATTTTGTTTTTGTTTCCCTTGGACAGTTCCCACAATCACTTAGTTGTAAAGAAGGTCAGTTTAATGGTAGAGCACTTTCTCCAAGGCAAGAAAATCTCTCTTACTCCAGAAGAAGCTATCAGAACTGCAAGGACAGGACATGCAGACAGTTATATAAATCAGTTTTGATTACAAAGACTCTCATTCAGATTGAAGCATTTTTATTTTGCTAATCGTTAGAGCTTCAATGCTTTTTCAAAACTTTGCCATAGTTTTGCTGATTTAGAGACATTGTCAGTTTTTCTGAGCGCTGAAATTTGGACATTGTTTATGAGACACTGTTGAATCACAGATATTGTAATGAATATTATTATTTTTTAAATAAGTGACCATATTAACCAGCTACTCCTTCAAAATTCTTGTCCATAGGCCTCATAATAATGTTTGGTTTTAATAGTAGGGCATACCTAGCATAGCTGTTAAGTTATGGATGAAAATGTTTCTTCATTTTTTTATACAGTGGTATATTGATAGTGAAAGTTGAATTCACTTTTTAAATTAAAAGCTTCTGTAGCTTTCATTCTTTTTGTACATCAAAGTGATTTACCTGAGATTGAATACAAATCCGTATTCTGCCAAATTACCGATGAAGTTCTTTGTAAAGGTTGTGGCGTTAGTGGAAGAATACAGGATGAGCTAAATGCAGTTTTTTTCATGGATGTAGGTTACAGGGAGGGACTACACTATCGTGCCCAGATTAAACATTTTAGTTTTGCAGAAATTGGGGGAATTTAGATTTGCTTTAATTTTTTTCTTGAGTGTTTGTATTTGCTTATAAATAAGGTGTTACCTATTTATATAATGCTGTACTTTTGTGATTTTAAGTTTTTGCTTGCATGTGGTTTTAGAAACTTTTGAAATCTAGTTTTGTTTTCTTTTTTCTCTAAGGAGAAAATATATGGCATTGAGGGATAGTAGTTGGGCACTACCCTTTGGCTAAGGGTAGTCATGACCTTGATTCATTCTTACTTTAGGTCTCGAGGTTCCCTTGGCTTTGAGAAGTCAAGAAGTTAACTAAAAATAGGAAAGCATGGTCAGGCTCTCCTGACTTGGAGAACAATTCGGTGTTTACATGCTACCTCTGGTTAATTTGCTTCTAAATCTGTGGCTCTGGATTTGTGACAGACCCTGTGGTGTAAATATTCCTGTGCTCCCTCTTCCCGTACCATCCAGCACCATAACTGGATCTTAAGCTGAGTCTTCACTTCATGTTTCCATATTGAAATGCTCTGTTAATTCCCCACACCTTGGGTCCTCCCAGTAATGTAATTACTTCAGTCCAGTATATAACATAATGTGAGTCCATCCTGGCTCTTAAAGAAGATGGCAGAAACTAAGAACACTTGGTTATATTGATTTCATTATAAGACAGTGTTTTATGATATGCACCTCAATAGAATGTTGTGGAGTCAATGACCTTATAGTTGCATTTGCCTTAAATTTTTGTTATGGATTTTTGTAAAGCTTTTGAGTTATGGCAAAGACAAAAAAGATGGTAATATGTCTATGGACCCTTTTTCCTGTTCTCTTAAAATTCTAGGTAGGAAATTTGAGTCGGAGGTGAGAACCATTCTAAGTAACAGTCTTCCTTTAAGTTAAACTGTATCACAGTTATTGGAAACGCCAGCAAATTGACTGTAGCTTGGAAACTTTGAGACTGAATTAAATCAATATCATTTTCATTAACAAACTATTGGCATGAAAATAAAAGGCTGCCAAAACCATACATTACATTTTGGGTCCAAATCCAATATATCGTCACAATATCATAATGGAATTTGAAACTGTAAGCCAGTTTCTCATTTTTCAATATGTCGATTTGATTTGGAGTGTATCATATTTAAAAATAATGATTTTACCCCGGCCAGTGTGGCTCGGTTGGGTGTCATCCCACAAAGCAAAAGAGCACATGACTGGGTTGTGGGTTTGGTCCCCTGTTGGGGTACATACGAGAGGCGACTCTGATCGATGTTTCTCTCCTCTTCCTCTCTCCCTTTTTCTCTCTCTAAAATAAATAAATATAATCTCTAAAATATAAAAATAAAACATAAATAAGAATAGTGATTTTTAAACCAATCAATATGTCAAAGTTAGCCTGCCCAAATATTATTTTAGTGATTAGAATAAGAATTATAATCTTACATGCTTGGCTTCTTTACTGATGTGCTCTGGCATGCAGGCAGGTCAAGCCTTTCATTAAGTTTACCACTAAATCTTGATTGTACAAAAACTTTAACATAACTTAGAATATAAACTGGATGGTATTGTTTATTGGATTGGTATTCATGGAGTTGAGATAGTTCTAGATGTGTTATAGAATTAAGTGCAACTTGATAGTTGTATATCATTTAGTCTGAGGCAAGTTGGAGCCAGAAATGGTTTGTGCTCATTAAAAACTATATATTAAAAAATAATATTACATTGAGTGCATGGTCCTGGCAGCAAAAAATATCCCAGAACTTAGGTGCAGAATGATGATATAAGTGAGGAGGCTAGTTGATTTCTCCAAATGTGTTGTCCCAAATTCTGCGCAGAAGTGGAATACAGCAGAACAGTCAGAAATCACGGGTAGAGTGTCAAAAACGGGGGGTAGGAATTGGTTCAGTCTTTGACATTGTTTTGTGATTATAGCAGATTTCATAGATGTTTTAGGAAAAAATGACCTGTGCTCACTAGGAAAAAAGCAATTTTTGATAACGATCAAGAGAAAATAATAGTTTGTGTTTGCTCTCTGAAAATATTTAAATTTGGGATT